AAATAAATAAATAAATAAAAAATAAATTGAACCTAGTTTGGGTTTGGACACATTTTAGAACATTATAATAAAAATAATTATGTCAACACTTGTGGGGTGTCCTTGCTCTTTTTTAAAAAGAGGTTCATTATTTTCTAAAGTTTGAGAAACAGCTTTTTCATAATTTTTCACTACTAGATACCTGTTATTTCAGGATTCCTCTTGCCTAGGATATCTTTATCTCTCCGGATTGCCAGTGGGGGACAGCTTAGAGCTGTTTTACAGGCTCTGGGAATCCATTTTAGTGGACCCTTTGCTTTAATTTATCTCTTGGGGCTTCCACAGGCTACAGGCAGTGGATGTTTCCGAATTTAGTTTGTATATTTTCCTTAGCGAGCCCCAGGCTCACTGGCTTCCCAGTGCTCTAAATCGCCGGTCTGGCTCTCAGGCTTTCCTTTTCAGACTCAGACCCGTGCTCACAGATCCCGCTCCCTCTGCTCGGCGGCCACCCCTCCACCCGTGTCTCCCTCTTCTGGAGCTGTTTCCCAGCCTTGCCTGATTCTAGCTATTTGTTTAAAATACAAAAACTTCCAGAATGATTTTCTGGAAATTCTAAATGTCTAGAGATAAGGCTTAGGAATTTTCATTTTAACCAAGAAAGTCTTACTGGCAGGCAAGTTTGAGAAACGTGGCTCTAGGGTCTCCTCAGTCCCCACGCTTCTTCCCTGAAGGCACCTCACCACTTGCGGGATGAGCCGAGTCTGGAAGTCAAGTTTTTAAATTTCTTTGGCGCAAGGTTTCTCAGCGGCCCCGGTGCGGTTGCCGGGTGACCAGACGCTCCAGTCGGGGCCACGGTTTCCGGGAAATCTCGCGATGTCTCCGGATTCGCCCTCCGCTGTGGCCTGGCACGGGTAACTGTGACGCGGCGGCGGGAGGTTGATGGTCCCTAGACGGGGTCCTAGTGGAGCCACTTAGCTTGGTGAAGCCGTGAGGCATCGGTCATATTAGCGTTTTAGTAAACCAAACAGTAGCCAAGACTGTTTTTGGCAGGGCATGATTTCCCCCTACCGGATTATCCTTCTGTCAGCTTTGAATGTTTCAGTGCCCAGTAACAGACCAGGAAATTGAACCAAAGTACAGCTCATACTCCACCCTTTCCTCGGGTAAAATCTAAAGTCCTTAGGGTAACGTTCCAGTTCGTTCATCATAATCAGCTTCACTGCTTGCTTCTTGCCCTCTGTTCTCCAGTATTCCAATCTGACACTTGGCCCAATATGCCGTTTTAATAGGACACACCTCATTTCCTCAAATTTTATTTTCCCATTTGAGTTTCAAGGACCCAGCTTGGAATTAGCATATCCTTTCTGAAGGTTTCCTATGTATTCAGTCTTGTTAAGTGGTGTTCTTTTCTGCCCCCCAAACAACTAGGATATATTAAATTCTTTAGCATAGCACTTAACACATTACTATGTATTTGTTACCCAGTTTGTCTTCAATAAGATGGTAAATTATTTGAGGTCAAGGATTATGTCTTTAACTTCTCTATTCTCTGGACCTAGCCAAGTGCCTTGTACATTAGCAGTCACTCCATAAATGTTTGTAAAATGAATAATTTATAAATGAAGGAGAACAACAGTAGAGCAAGGAACTGACATTTACAGTGGAAAGACTGGGGCTCATTAAGGATTTGGTGAATTGAGCAATCTGGATGTAAGGGACAGTGCAAGCGGGAAAACAGTAACAGTTGTGATCTTAGTGGGAAAGGGGGTAGGGGGAGAGGATGAGGGATGGGGGTGGGTATAGGCAACAGTGAAAAGTTGTCATTGCTGTTCCTTGAGCAAAGAAACATCAGAATAGAAGACTGTTAGAGTTGCAAGGCAGCTTAGAGCCATGTGACTGTCCAACTTGTCATTTTGCAAATAAGGAAAATGCCAGGCCTAGAGGAAGGAAAGAAATATGCGGAGGTCACATCTGAGGTGGCAGAGAGGGAATTTGCCCTTGGGCTCCTGATTTCAGGCTCCAGTCCCCTTTCCTTATTCCTCACTAACTGTTAAAGTAAGAATAGCCTAGAAGGAAAGATAGGGAGATACAGACAGATGAACCCTTACCCCATTCAGAACATTGTTACTAAAATCCAGTTGTGAGGGAATTTTGGCCTGGTTTAGGTTGAAGGCGAAGGGGGTGGCAAGGAATGAATAAATTTAGGAGGCATCTTGAAACATGGTTTAATAGAAATTGATAGGATAAAAAGGGAAGAAGAAGTTGAAGATAATTCCTGGGTGTTAGTTAGAATAAAGGAATGATACTGGAGAAAGAGGAGAGGTGGCAAGTAATTTGAGGGGAAGTGGATGAGTTTGGTTTATACATGTTAAGTGTGGAGTGAGATAGGTTTAATAGTTTCCAGAATAGAAGTAATCCTTGAAACCATGCGGTCATAAGTGGTAGTGAGGGAGAAAGTAGGGAAAAGAGAAATAGGAAGTCAATAACTATGCCAACTAGTTTGGATGGAAGAGGGAAGCAAAGTTGGTTAACGTGTCAGAGGCAGAGTCATCAGAGATGAGATTTGTTCTGAGAACAAATAATAATTCAGTGATTCAGAGTTAGATTCAGATACTAGGGAAAGAGTTTGAGGAGGAGGGGTACCTAAAGAATAAAAAGATATAAAAGGATACAAGAAAGTGAAAGAATGATTAAAATAATATGACTAAAACACTAGGGCACAAATCAGATGCTCCTTTTACTTGTTTTGTAGGTCATTTATTTAGGAACCAAATAAATTTGGTCATTTATTTGGGTCATTTATTGGGAAAGTAAGCAGGGCTGTTCTATGTTCTGTGTAGCACTCATTTGCTGCTAAGATTACTTTGCTGGAAACATGTTTAGCAATACTTCATTAAAAATCAGTTGCTCTGTTAATCATTGTTTTGTAACAGTTTCATATATCATTATAAAAAGTATGATCTCATTTGTGGTGAAATTATATACACATTTAAATGTCTAAAAGGATATATATCTACATCTATGCATGTAAAGATTTAGATGTAGATCTATGTAGATCTATACCTCTATACCAAAATATGTAATAATGGTTATTTCTTGATGGTAGGATTATGACTGTTTCTTTTTTTTTTTCAGTAATCAGGGTTTTAAAAATTATAAAATTATTATTCTGAAAGTTCATTTTGGATTCTGACCTTCATGAAATTGGAAATCTCTCTGTGACTGCTAGTATTTAATTAATTAATCTTTTAAAAATCGCCAAATTATTAATTAGTTTTTTTAAAAGGCAGAAAGTTAAGCTTAAGGGAAAGTATTTTCTCATTAAGATGTGAAATATAATTCCTGTCTAGTGGCACACAGAGTATTTTCCAATGTGGCAGAAATTTGGCAAACTACAAGAAATACTTGTCTTCAGTGACACATTTGTAAGTTCAGTGTAAAGTACTCTAAGATTTACATTTTGACAGATGTTGGTAAATTTGTATTGTAAAAAAAAATGTGAAGTCTTGAGAGTCATTTTAAAAGGCACTTTTGGAAGAATAGTGCTACAAAGCACATTTTAAAGTCTCCACTAGAGTTTCCAAGTAACTTTAGACAGAAACACACTTATTGTTTCATATATTGTTCTATCTATCTTTGTCAATTAGTATATATTTCCCGGCCTTCTAGAGTACATATTATGTAGCCCTGTGTGAGGCCCTAAGCAAACATTTTTTTTGACATTTTTTTAATTTTATTATGTTATGTTAACCACCATACATTACATCATTAGTTTTTGATGTAGTGTTCCATGATTCATTGTTTGCGTATAACACCCAGTGCTCCATTCAGTACGTGCCCTCTTTAATACCCATCCTCCCAACCCCTCCCCCCTAGAACCCTCAGTTTGTTTCTCAGAGTCCATAGTCTCTCATGGTTCATCTCCCCCTCCGATATCCCCCCCTTCATTTTTCCCTTCCTGCTATCTTCTTTTTTTTTTTTTAACATATATTATTTGTTTCAGAGGTACAGGTCTGTGATTCATCAGTCTTACACAATTCACAGCGCTCACCATAGCACATACCCTCCCCAATGTCTGTCACCCAGCCACCCCATCCCTCCCACCCCCCACTGCTCCAGCAACCCTCAGTTTGTTTCCTGAGATTAAGAATTCCTCATATCAGTGAGGTCATATGATACATGTCTTTCTCTGATTGACTTATTTCGCTCAGCATGATATTATGCTAAGCAAACATTTTAATGATTAGTTACTTTCATTAAGAAACCAACAAATTAGTGTGCCTGGGTGGCTCATTTGTTAAGCATCTGCCTTCAGCTCAGGTCATGATGCCGGGGTCCTGGGATGGAACCCTGCATCGGGCTCCCTGCTCTGCAGGAAGCCTGCCTCTCCCTCTCCTACCCACCCTGCTTGTGTCCCTTCTCTGCTGTGTCTCTCTCTGTCAAATAAATAAATAAAATCTTAAAAAAAAAAAGAAACCAACAAATTAAAGGGCCTAGATATGTATATCATCATATAACTTTATACAGAAAAATTAGCAGTTATTAAATTTTTTTTGTCTTGACCTCATAGATTGGTAAATATTAGTGAGTATGGTAGGCAGACTTCTAAGATGGTCTCAATGATCTTATCTTATTCATATTCATGCCCTTGTGTATTCCCTTCTCCTTGAGTATGGACTGGTCTTAGTGACTTTTTCTAACCAATAAAACAAAGCAAAGTTGATGAAATATCATTTCTGCAATTTTGGCTTGCACTCTTTGATAGAGCAAACTGTCATTTAGGAGAGCCCCACATGGCAAGGAACTGAAGATGGCTTCTAACCAACAATGAGGAACTGAGACCTACTGTTTAAGTTTGGAAGTCAATCCTGCCCCAGTTGAGCTTTTAGATGAAACCTCATCCCTGGCCAATACCTTGATTGCAGCCTTGTGAGAGAACTTGAAGGAGAGAACCTAAATTCCTGACCCATGAAATCTGTGAAATAATAAACGTGTATTGTTTTAAGCCACAAAGTTTTTGGGTAATTTGTTAATGCAGCAATATATAATACAGGAAGCAATGGAAAATTCTCTTAGGGAGGGAAGATTTGCTTAGAAATTTGGGACATTATTCCCAATTTCATAGGATATTTGGAGAGGAAGCTCAGGAAAAATAAAGTGACTATAGGAAGTTTTAGCTTAGCTAGAATGAAAGCTTTCTTAACAAGTATCCATTTATAGAAACTGCAGTTGTAGAATCAGTACAAAGGAAACCCTTTGTTTATGGATGAGGCAGTTTCCATTCAGGGTACCACTCCTAATTTCTGTAATCTGGGGATGATCATTTAATTGAGAGCTTCATGGTCTTCTAATACCATGATGTATACAATATGGGCACCAATAATAAATAATTTTTTAAAAACTTAGTAACTGATTTCTTATTTTTAGTAACTGATTTCTGTCATTTATTATATAATATATTCTATAAATGTAAATAATTATTACATAGGTTATATATAAAACAATCCAAGGTATTTCTTCTAATTTCCAGACCTATGCATCCAAGTGGCTGCTAGACATTCATTTCACCTGGAGATGAATGTCTTGGAGACAATTAAAACTGAAATTGTCAGAAATGGACCCAGTTCTATTCTGTACAAATCTGATCAGCCTCCTCCAGTTTCTATCTAGCCAACAGCCAACGAGGAACTGAGACCTATTGTTTAAGCTTGGAAGCCAATCCTGCTCACAATCCACCATACTACCCAAATTGGAGCCTGGGAACCATCTCCAGTATTCCCTCACATACTAGTAGTACTCACACAGTCAGTCATGAGATTA